CCGCCGGTCAGCCGCGCCACGGCTGGGAGGCTTTTCTTGGAAAGCAGCTCCCTGCGCAGGCGGGTGTGGGGGTGGTTTTGCTCCCCGCCCCACCACCGCGGTAACGGGTCTGTTCCGTGGGTCTGACGCCCCTAAGGAGAGGGCCTGTGGAGCTGGGGCCTGTGTGCAATAGGCGTTAACCTGCCTCAGGGCCCGCAGTGAGGCCGGAAACGTTGTAACCCGGTTTGAGGAGGAAGCAGAGTTTGATATGATTGCGGTATGGGTGCGTCCGCCTGTCCGTCCGCCCCTAAACCTCGTGAATGTGTTGACTAACGTTGCAGAGAGGCTAGCGAGCGGGAAGATGTGCTCTGCTGCAGCGCTGCTGCAAGGGGTGACTGCAAGAGGCAGGCCTCGCTTGACCCCACGGGCTGAGGAGCTCTCTTTTCCACTGAAACGAACCTAAAGCTCTGATCCTGCAGATAATTTTAATTCGGAAGCTGGATAAAAACTTTGGTTTGTGTGAGTGTTCGGTGGCTCGGGCCCTCTGGCTGTAGCTGTTTGTTTTGCCATCTTCTTTGCGTGCGCTGCCCCGTGCTTTCTGCCTGACTTTGAATAAGTCACGTTACCTTTGTGATATAAAGGTAATAATGGGTGCAGAGCTTAACGCAATGTCCGCAAAACAAACCGACATCAGTATAAGCAAACCACTATTTTCTGTTGAAAAAAATCTGGCTTACTCTGTTCAGTGTTTCATTTAAGGGTTTCAGCAGTTTTTTTAGCATGGGTTTCATTTATTAACTAATGACTTTCTGGAGGGTAAAAAAGTTAGTTTTGGGTGCAGGCATTACTCAGAGCGCCATGCTCTGATACTCATACACAGATTCAGGCTCACACGTTCGTTCTTTTGTTTTTCTTCTGAAAAGACCCCAAAACGCTTTAACAGTAGTTGATGAAGTTTGTTACATCTCTGTTGTCTCCGCTCCTTTGCCATGCATAGGAGTGGAGCTGCTTCAGGGACCTCCAGATAGCACTCAGGTTGGGTAATGGAGGCCTGTTGTTAACAGCTTCAAATGGGAAGTCATAAACTCCAGCTCTCACCCAGCCCATTGTGCTACCCTCAGAGTTATGCAATCTTGGTCAATATGTTTCTGAAACTTAATGCTTCTATTCCAGTAGTTTTTAACGTTGTTAGCAAACTGTATGACAAAAGAAAAGAAGCAGGAGAAGGATTTCATCTGTTTCTTTATGCAACTGCATACTTTCAGATGAGATTTTTTTCAGGCTCTTCCATGGAGGAAGACTGTCTCAGCCGCTTTCTTCTAGTGTTGTGGTTTTTTGTTTGTTTGTTTTGTTTTGCTTTTAACCCACTGGCTGCCAGAATCTGTGCCTCTTTATGCTGAGGTGCCTTCAGGGAGGTTTCGGCAATATCCATGTGGTGACTCTAGTCTTACAGAAATGAAGTTAGAGTGCAGTTCAGGACAGAAGGCATGAACACATTTCAGACATTCAGGTTTTGCACTGCTTTATTCCTTCACTTTGAATTTGGACTCATTTATGCCTGAATCTGCCAACAGGATTTTGCTGCTTGGCTCCATTTGTAGAAAGGTAAATGCTTTCAGACGCTTTTCCCATGAATACTATCAGTCACAGTGTTCCCAACAGTAAGGCTGTTTATGCAGTAGAGATTGTTGCATTCTCTTCTTGGATCTCCTCTTTTATTACCGGAAGGGGAGGAATGGAGCGGGCTGAAAATTAATAGTGGTCTATCAGTGATTTATGATCTCTGCCCACGGTGAGGGTGAGAGACCACTCTTAACAGAGCAGAGGTCCCAACCTTGCTGTGGACTGGGGCAGTTGGAATAGTGATGTTGCTATGTTGAGTGTTGATGTGATGGAAAAACAGGATAGAAATTGCCCCTGCCTTGCAGAGGTGGGCTGCAAAAAGAGGTCATTGTCTTGCTTCTCTTCTAGTTCCTAAGTCTGGATGCGCTGCTCCTGTGGTTTGAGGGAGAGGTATACCTGCGTGTAACGGTATACCTGCCTCTTTGTAACTGGGGCTGGGGCCGCCTTCTTGCGGAGGCAGGTTGTTGCTGGAGGATGTGCCTTCCAGTAGGGTTGCTTTGATTCACAGCCTCACGTGTGCTATGGCTACAGGACTTTTGCAGTCAGGCCTCTCTCCTGCTTCGGGACCATGAGCATCAGCTCGCACATCAGGTTAATCGGCTGCATTTGGTGTGGAGGACTCTGGACCAGGAGAGAGGCAAAGCTGCTGGCCTGCGTGTTTGTGGGTTGCAGATGTTGCAGTGTGGGGAGCGGAGCAGGAGCATCAGACTGATGTGTGAGACTGGAGAAGGGTGAGTCATGTTAGCCAGAAAAAGTGCATTCCTAGTGACATCTGACCTGCTTACATGAACTGTGCAACTGCGCCCTCTAGTAAATTTTCAGGATTTGGATACTGAATAAGACTGCCATTTTTTCCAGTCCCAAAGTACAGCTGCTTTGCGACATAGCTCCAGATAAAATCTCAGCACCTTTCCAAAGTGGAGTACTTGGAAAAAAGTATAGCATGGGGAGAGAGGGCAGAGAAAAGGAAATCTTCGATAATTGAAACTGTTACTTTCTGAAGTGATTTTATTCCATTTCCAGTTTCATGTAACAGCATGTGCCTCAGTGTTAATGCAAGTAGGAGCTGATGATTTCAACTCACTTATCTGTATTTACATAATATGTCAGAGGATGTATTTTTACTGTATATTTTTAGGTGGTACTGGCAGAAGGAAAAGAGAGAGCCCTATGTGAAATTTATGGAGGCAAATTACCCACCCGGTTTTAGTTATGAAGATTTTGCACCATTGTTTACAGCAGAATTCTTTGATCCTGACCACTGGGCGGATATTCTGAAGGCTTCAGGTGCAAAATATGTTGTCTTAACTTCGAAACATCATGAAGGTAAACGGAAGGTTTGTGAACGTTAGTAATTGTTGCATTTCTGTCAGCTAAAGAAAAGCCCAGGTGACTTTCCTGCTTGCTAACAGAGAGGCAGAGAAAAACGGGCAGACTTTGCTGCCCCAACCCAAATGAAGAAGAAAAAAACCACCCGAGAAATATACATTTATTTTCCTGACTCTTACATGATAGCTGTTGTCATGAAGCTTTCATAAAAGGAGGAATTCGTTGTGCCGTTCTTCTCTTGCCTGAAGCAGCAGGTGCTGCTGAGCTTCTTGAAGTAGATACAGTTCATTTTCGACTGTTGAGTAATTTATTGCCTAAGGAACCGGAAAAAGTAAACTGTGTTGTTTTACGTATAGAACGTTGTGTGCAGGCAGTAAACTAGCTCTGTAGGTTTCTCCAAGGAATTTAGAATATGTTCCAGGAGTCTACTTCAGAGTTAGAAACATACACAGGGTATAGCTCTTCCTGATGCAGTGCATAAAAGCTACAATCTGAACCAAGTCTCTAAGATGACAGGCATCACACCTGCACTGAAAGAAATAAGGCAAAATATTACAGCTTTACAGCTGGGGATGAAAACACAGACGCGAGTGATTTGCCTAAGGTTATGCAAGAAGTCTATTACGAAGAAAGTCATTTTGTGGATTGCCTGAGCCACTGTCCCATTATTTATTCTCAACTCACACCTCCCATGCTTTTTTTATTTCTGCTTTTGGTGACTTCTGTTAAGGTACTATAAGGTAGTGTAGCTAGCTAACTGGTAGACTTGACTGAATTTTCACATTTGCACGCTTTTTCGCGAAGGTGTAGGAGAACTTCACAGACACCATTGACTTTTTGACACCATAGCTGTAAAACGCTCTGCAGATGAAAGTAAAGAATAAGAATGTTTAGAAAGAAACATGACAGCAAAGAAAAGCATAAAATATGATGAAACAATATGATGGCACATCTAGTGAATGTTGGTGGTGTTTGGGGCGATGTGGGTACAGGACAGGCAACTAGTAACTTTAATGCTGGTTCTGACACACAAAATCCTGATCCTAGTGATGCCATGCATAATTCCCACAGACTAAAAAAGAATCAAGATTCGTTTAGTGTGTCCAGTAGCCTTGGACATGAATTTTTAGCTTGTTTGTCTAGTAGATGCAATTACATGTATTTATTTCACAAAAATATGTGAGATTTATTAGGTGCTGCTTGTAAAGCAGTCTGAAGTTGAGAGTTGAGCTCCTCTAGTGATCTAAGTCTGCAGTGCAATAAAACTTATGGGGCCTAGGCTGGATTTCTGAACGCCTGAAAAGTTAAATCCCTCCTGATACTTCATGTTGATATTTTGAAAGCTATTCCAGGAGTTTTTGTGCTTTGCTTATGTACATCTACTGACTGCTTGATTGAGCTGTTATAAATGTCAAGACAAATGAAGAGTGATGCATAAGATGTAGACAGGAGGAGGAGGAGAATTGTCTTTGAATGTAAATGACAGCTTATGCATTCTGCAGCTGAAAAAGCATTTTTGTCTTCCTATTGTTGTTTGTGTATTGAGAGTTTATATTTGAAACAGTGTGAGGAAATTCATGTGCCTACAAAGTTGATATATTCTTGGTTAATTGGGACAGCTGAACGGAGTGAACAATTAGAGAGAAAGGAATAAGTATCCTAATTTAGTACAGCCCTGGAAGTTGCATGTATTTTAAATATACTTAAAAATGTGTGTGTGTGGG